GTAAGAGTGTATCTTGGACATCGTGAAGTACATCTGAATGGTTATCTCAAGACTGGATCATTGAATCAGCAGCAGAAAAGCGGCAGTGCATTCAGCTGCTCATTTAACCCTGATTGGAAGGGCATTGTGTATACATGCCAATCCCGGTCATTTCTGTTTCAGGGCAAATACAGACACAGGTTGTCCCAGGGCAAATACAACATCTGTTCCTAACCCAAGAGATTGTCTCTCAACATATGGCTGGCTCATGTAATGGACATGGGCATTTTACTAATTCCAGAAGATTGAGTTACTCTTAGCTGAAGTGGTAGATGCCTGTTCTCTTGGTTCTGAGGAACCTGAGTTTTGCGCTTACTGAACCTGGGAGAGGGATGTTGCTTTAGGATCAAAATATGGCTTATTTTGGAGCTGATTCATGATTGTGGGGGCTTTTTGCTACAAAATATATAATACATATTATAATGTACTTATGGGCATTGTCTAATTTTTTTAGATTGCCTGACAAAACTCTGTAATAGGTATTATATGCTCATAGTTTATTCGTAGAACATGGAGTCAGAATAATATACTTGGCAAGCTGTTTCAGATTATTTAGGAATGGCCATTTCTCACAGCTTGGTAGAAACTAGTATTCAAATATTGAACACCCAGAAGCTATATTTCCACACTGAAATTAAAACTTGGACACCAAGTTTATAAGCCAGATATTAATTACAAATTCCAGCCTTATGTGATCGCCCTTAATAATAATATTAGTTTTCTTTGTAACAATATTATTACAAATCAAACCCAAAGAAATACAGTCATGCATGTTTATCTTTCTAATAGCATTTTTGGGCAGAGTGGCAGCATACCAACACAACGATCAGTAAATTATAATGCTTGTGTGCCAAATCCTGCAATCTTTTTTCGGTCAAAATTCCCACCCAATCCAATGGGAGTTGAACCCTGGATACAGGTTAGTTTGAAATTACTTTCTAGTAATTCCTTTTGAATACACTTCCTTAGGATTTTTACCATTTACTAATATTAAAACTATGGCAGAATATGCAGTTTGGAATTAGGCCTGTAGGTAGATTGCAGTTCTTATCAGACCTGTTAATGAACTGAGTGATGATGGATAAAACGATGGCAATTTTGAACTTTAAATGTTTCATTACATGGATGTGAAGATGTGACTCATAATTCTTGTTCCTGGATAAATATATTTGAATGGAAGTACAAATAATACATTTGCAACAATTTAGTTTGAAATCCAGGATTAAACCTTGTTATAGCAAATGCAAACAGTTTTATATGTATTAATGAATTGAGTGTGAAGTAATGAACTGTACCTCTTAGTACGTTAGGTTCACTTGAGGTCATACAAAAATTCTGTTGCGAAGTCTGGGCCAAATCCAGGTCTCTAGACAGAGATCCTGGATTTTAACCACAAGATCATCTGCAGCTGGGAACCTGGCCGGCAGCTGAAGTGTGGCTTTGGGCAGCCAGACTCTGCTTTTGGGCTGCATGTGCTACTGCCACATGTGCCACCCCACTTTTTTTCTGTGCAGGTTTTTTGACCCCAGGAAATCCTAGGGTCAAAAAAACCCCTAGCACTGCAAGGTAGCAGCATGGAGAGAACCTGAATGTGTGGTGTGTGGTCCTACAGATCTGTCTGCGGTGTCACATGGCCATGCTCGTCTGGACACAGCCAATATGTCTCGCACAAACTGGAGGGATCAGTTCCAAGATGGAGGGGAGAAGATAGTGATCTCATCAATGTCCTGCTCTTTCTTTGACACCACGGGTACTGCTAATAAGTAGTTTGATGAATCCTTGATATAAGCCTACTGAAACCAATGTATTTACACCAAAGATGAATTTAGCCCTTGAATTTAGGTTATCACTTTCTGATGCAAGTTTTAAGAATCATTTCTGTGATGTGGACATGGTTCCCCCTACAAACAAGACTGAACTCCACATTCTCCTTCCTTTTTAAAGGAACTAGCAAAGCAAGAGGCTATGAATGTTAAGCCCTTGCACTGTATCTTCTTTAACTACATTGCAATTATTGCCTGGCATTCATAATAGAAATAAAGCACATAACATCAGAGTTTCTAAAATGACATTGTTTTTATTACAGATTTCCTTTTTCAAAGAAAATGAAGTCAGCTACACAAAGCTGCCAAGCAATATTTGTTGAATTAAAGCCTCTATATCTTCACAAATGCTTTTTTTTCTTTTCTTTTTTAAAGATATATAAATAGAAAACCCTACATATATGTCACCTTTAGGATCTTTTCCCCTACAAAGCTGAAGGTTGTGGCTTTTTATTTTGCAGGTAATATTTTTTGAATAATTGCTGATGCAGGGGGAGGGATTAGCGCTTAAAGACCTGATCCTTCACTCTAAATGGCTGCTTCACACTGCTTCAGTGGCAATATTCAGAGGCTGTTTTGACCAAGTTCTCAGATGACTATGGAAGTTCCATGCCACCCTTGGGAAGCTCAGTGTATCTTAAAGCCATCTAGTTGGCCTGAGGTTTAAGGAAAAGACTAAGTAGGTTTAGATCCTCTTTCCATCACATGCACACCCATCTTGCCCTTCAACTCCACAGATGTATGTCAACTATAGCCTAGGACCTGTCCTATGTGTCTGACCATATTAAATCTCCTTGCTGTGTTCTGGGATCTCTTGGAAACAATGGTTTCCAAGAAAACAATAGTAGTTTTCCCATTTCTTCTTTATAGTATGAATTTACTTCGTTTGCAAGGAAAACAGACTACAGTTGTAAGACACAGTATTTAACTCTATTTCCCACTTCAATCATTACAGACTGTAGCGCTAACAAACAATGTCCTAAGACTGATAGCTAGAGGACAGAAATTTGGGGACAATCATGTGTTGTGAAATACTAGCTCCAATGAAGTCACTGGCAAAGTTACAATTGACTTGTTGGACTAAGATTTCACTCCCAGACTTCATAGTCTGGCCAATCTATCTTTTATATATCTGGATAAGATTCACATACAACTTTACCAATCCATTCCATGCAGGTTGCTGAAATGATGCTAATACTTTTGATCAGCTATGAATTGGCTGATGCAAGCCACCAATTTAATTTTAAATGCTATTAGATCTCTTAATGCCTAGGTGCTCGGGTGCAAGATATGCTAAAATTCGAACAGTTAAATTGATCAAAGAGGAAAAATGATGCATTTAAAAATATCAATAAAAATACATATTAAAGTGTTAATCTGTCCCTGTTTTCCTGAGAGGCCTGAGGCAATTCTTTTCAGGCCTTTCAACACTAGCATTTTCTGCCTGTCTGACATATTATAGAAATAGAAAACGTTTTGTAGCACAAGCAAAATATATATTGAAACAACTTGAGAAGCAGTAAACTTAGCTGAATTATACTATACTATATAGTATATTATAGATACTATATAATATGCTGCTTTATAATTGGTATGACATTCTGTCCCTTAAACAGGGAAGAAAAATACAAACAAGTCACTCCCCAAACGAGCTTTTAATTAAAAAAAAAAAAGTAGTAAGAAAAACCAATATCACAAAATTGTCTTCCTCCTTTTGGCCATGTCATCTACAGTTTTTTCTGAATGTAATCTTTGCAAATAAAAGTTATACTTTTGTAGAAGGCCTCTATGCAACAATTAAGATGTGTTTGCCTAACATACTGTGTTGTCAGAAGGATGCGACTTCCTGAAGGTAAAGTACAAGGAAAGCTACATTTCTAAATGGACACTTTTGTTAGCATAGCTTTTCTTTAGTCTCAACATCTTCTAATAAATAAGTATTGACATAATTTTTTTGCAAAGTCAATACTAACTTTTTTTTAGTGCTGTTCTGATTTGTAAAGTGAGTCTATAGAGAAAGCGCTATAGCATTCCTTATTATTATTTTATTGAACTTTAAATCAAACCTCCTCAGTGCACAAGGGAAAATGGTTATTTTTCCCTAACTGTTCACTGTTCACTGTTATCCTAGAATCTGAAGGCAAGGTATATTTTTGTGGTTGCTGCAACATCATGAATACTAAAGATAATTGGATGAACTTAGGTCTGGAACTTGCAAACACTCACTTGAGCATGTTAAGTTAATCGTATGCATTTTCAAGATCAGTGTGCCAGCAAACAGCTGCTGATGCCTAAACCAGTCTAGAATCCACTCATTTTCCTATACCTGCAGTATTAACAGGAGCGAAAAGGGCAAAACCTGATTTTTGCTGGAGGTGGGGAAGATTGGTGGAGTGATCTGACTGCTACAATTTGGGGGCAGATCTGTTGAAGGACAAGATGATGCGTTGCCTGTGACTTCTAACTTATATTACACTTTAATGATTTTACTGCAACACTTGCAACTTTAATACAGTTACATGTGCCAGAGTAGAGAATCAGAGAATAAAAACTAATTCCAGCTTATACAGCCTAATTTCACTCTCTGAACTGGATCAAGTTTAGAAAATAAGCAATTAGCATAAGTGGCTTTAAAAGACATTTGAATGTGAATTCCTTCAATGTCTCTCATCTCAGAAACTTAACAGCTAGGGACAGAAGTTACACACAAAATGGTGTAAGTGATCAGAAGCCGGTTCAAATCTGTAACACAACAGAAGTTCAGTGCACGTAAACTGCTTTCAAAATGGCCAAAACCAGTTTAAGATAAACCTGGATAGATGTAGTATCAGACTTAACTGAGTTAGGTTACACTGATTTATTAAACTTCTGTCCCAGATCCCCTGCAGATTCAAGTTAACTTACAGTCCCCCAGCATCCCAGGATGCTTTGCACCTCCCTACAAACTCCCCTTACAGAGTGGGTGGGCAAGCTTTGGCCCAAGCTGTCTGCTCCAGCTGAACAGGGAGGCATACTCTAACACCCGCCTCCTTTTGGCCTGAGCCACTGCAGGCATGTGGCTGCATTTCTGGAATCAAGAGAGAATGTCTGTTCACTTGCTTATTGGTTCAATCTGCACAGGTTAGACTAACCTGCGAAGATTGAATTGATTCAGCCTTGGGCTTTTTGACTGACTGTACTTAGCTAGTGACACAAAGAAAAGAAAATTTTAACAGAGTTCCCTTAATGGTTGTGGTTTACAAACAGTTTAAGGACTCCTGCATCCCCACTCACGTGAGTATGGTGGGCCAGATATACACAACATTGAACTTTATATGCCTATTCATACCTCTCTAAAGTGCAGACAAATCAAATATCCCTACCTGCCTGCAACTGTAGTAGTGTTTTATACCCATCTTGCACTGGTTTTGTACAGGCATAAATAACTGACAAGTGCAAAGCAGTGGAGAATAAAACTGAATGTTGCATAGAAGTGTACTGGTCATCAAAGAAGAGTTTCTTATATTTCCATTTGAAGCTGCTCAGCATGATGCCAGTCTTGACACCATTCTTAGCTGCACAAAGAGTATGAAACAAATCCTAAGAAAGGACGATAATCTGAAAACACTTACAGTACTCCCTAACCTGTGCACCTGTATACCTTTTCTTGGAGGAAGGCCTCAGAAATACAGCCACTAAGTTAGTAAGCTATAGGTAAATCTGACAGTTTGCTCAAATGACAGGTAGAGAGGGGAAAAAGAAAAGGGAATGTTCTACCCCAATCACAAATATTGAATTAAATGCATATGCAAATTATTGTCCCACAAAAACATCGCAAAAGCATGTGCTGGTTTAAACAAGACATAGGCTCAAGCAAGAAAAAGTCCAACTGATTTTTAAACATTTGAATGCTTAGGAAGCTTTTGTAATGGAAAGGGCAGTTTACTTTAGGTGCATACAAGTTTAGATTTGAAATCTTTACCCTTCCCAAACTTTGAGGCCCATATTTAGTGTTAGCTAGAAAAAGACGATCCATTTTTAATGAAATGAGGGCAAAGTGAAAACTTAATTTAAACTACTACTGAACTGATTGATTGATTGATTGACGTTTTGTCTATCTTAGAGTTTGATTTCCACCCCTGTCCGGCCCCTGCACACTCATTTCTGTTCTTGGGGGTGGAAATACTGAAATGTCATTGGAAATGTTGTTTATGTACTATTTCCAGCCCAATTCTCCAGTTCTAAGACACCTAGAAAAGCAGATGAATTTCAGACTCACTGAAATCCATCCATCACTGACTGAATCTTCATCTGGCATGTGACACATTTACTATATTAATTACATACATAAGAGTGTAGGCACTAGTATCGGAGCCGGAAAAAAATGGGTTTGTTACAACAAAAACTGTGTCAACTTAGCGCTGGTAAAGGGTGTCCCGTTAGCAATTTTGGAGACTGATTTTCTCCATCTATAGGGAGTACAATGCCGCAATCTGCAAGTGCATTTGGGTCCTTGGTCTCTGTTGAGAAATCCAAATTGTGATGACCATGGCTAGATGGAGGCTTATTTTCCATAGACTACTGAAAAGCTCTTGAATGATAATGACTCTGTTTCATACAATCTGGGTTCTACTGGAGTCAGCAACCTAGAAGCATAAGGTGTTGTCTCATTACCCATCCCCTGAGTCATCCAGTCCTTTAGAATATCTCTTCAATGTTGGACAGAAATAATGTAGAGTGGATACAAACACTCTAAAATCATTTAAAGCTGGAAAAAATCTAGGCTTATGTTACTCAAAAAGGGAATTGTGCGTTGTTTTCTCTTTGCTTCCCCATTAAAAAATAAAGCATCAATCATGTGATCTGGCTGCCTCCTCCCAACTCCAAACCAAACTGCTCTGTAACATTTTGCTACTTTAACACCACTCCCTTAGCTGCTGATTTTGGTCAGCATCTTGTTAATGGCCTGCTTGACATGGGTGGTGGAGCTCCGTCTCCGAGTCTTGCCCTGAACCATCTTCCGACGCCGCACCTCACGGCAGAGCTCGTAGAAGGCTTCCATGATGTTGCCTTCACCAGTGCAAGCAGAGCACTCATAAAAAGCGCATGCTAGTTCTGTGGCCAGCTTTTCACCCTCCTCTGTGCTGACCTGCCTGGAATGATCCAGGTCAGCTTTGTTTCCCACTAGGATGAGAGTAACGTTTTTGGGCTTTTTAACTTCATCCAGCAAGTTTTTCAGTGGTAGCACTTCCTCAAAGCTGCCCCTGTCAGTGATGTCATAGACCAGTACAAAACCTTCACCCCATCGTACATGTCCTTCTTTCTGAATAGCATCCTCCTGTTCAAAAAGAAGGACAAGAGTTTTAGGTTAAAGTACATATACCAACTGAATGCAGCTTGAGAAACAAATACAATTCCCTCAGGAGAATGTACTTCCTACAAGTCTAGTTCTCAATGGCTGTACAAGCTGCATATACCTTGCACAATGGATATAAATCACAGCTCTTGTGATTTCATGGCATGTATGCCCACTCTTCCAGAAATGCAGAAGACTGCAAAAGGCAGTGTAAAGTCAGGTTTTAAGAACTGTTCACTAGTGAGTGGAATTGTTCACTAGTAGATAGTGTAAACCTACCGTAGCCTGGCAATGACTTAAAGATGACCATGGGTAGGCAGAATCCACTCTGTCTTTGAGCAGATGTAGCTTGCTAGCTCATATTTATGTGATGGCTGGTACAACTTAACTGTGGTGCGGCCATGTGATGCTGACCATAGTGTATGATCATCAGGGATCCAAGTCTTCCATTTCCCATGGAAAAATGTGGATTTTCCCCTTTTGAACGAGAAAAATGTGGGTTTCCCCTTTTGCAAGTAGCTCTCTGCAAGCTGGCAGACTTCCATCCTGCAAGAGCCACTTGCAAAAGGGTGGGAAACCCTAAACCCTGTCTGGAGGGGGCGGGGGTGAGGCCTAAGAATGAGTCAGCCAGGGCTGGGTCAGACTCACTTTCCCTCCTGTGGCCTTTGGAGCAAGGAGGGCTTTTTGGGGTTGAGGCCCCAGTGGGATGGGTGAGGGTCACATTGCCGAGAGAATCTGGGGCCTGTGTGTAGAGCCAGCAGGGTGGGCAGGGGACAGGGAAGGGGTGTGTAGGCAGTGATCACTCTGTCCCATGTCATGGGCCAGGACTAAGATGAGAGCAGGCTTGTCCCACCATGACATGTTCTGACTAGGCTCATGTTGGGGCTGGAGGCGCTGCCCAGCTGGGACAGTGGTGGCACAGTGCAGGAGGGAGTGCACGCTGCACCCCTGTCTGCCAGGCTGGGTGCCCTCAGGGCAGGGTTGGGAGCTTAGGTTGGGGCTGGGAGTGCTGCCCAGCCACGGCAGGGACCAGAGCCCAGGCGTTAGGTGACTGCTGCCTAGCCTTTGTGCTGGCGGCTGCTGCCCCACAGTTCACTGTACTGCTGCACCACATTCTGTGGCTGCAGTGGCTCCACTGGGGCTAGTACTGGAGGCAGTGGCAGGGGGCGTGGGATATGGAGAGGGGAGGAGTGGCACAGCCACCCTGCATGCCACCCTTCCCAACCCAGGGCGCCACTAGGCTCACCAGCCCCAGAGGTGGAGTGCGGTCCCTGCATGCCCAGCCACCAGATGGGACAGGACCAGTCAGCAGGAGCCCTAACCACACCAGCATCTTCTGCATAGCAGCCCAGCCCCATGCTTGCTGGGACATGTGGCCCCGACCTGGGCGGGCTCCTGGTCCCAGGAACCACTTGTGGGGAGGGGGAGGTGATGGGTAAGGGGTAGATTGAGGTGGCAGCAAGGTTTGCGTGTTTGATGGCTTGGAGGTGGCAGCATGGGGGGGGTGTGGCAGAGAGAGAGACAGCGAGTGAGAGAGAGA